AAAAAGAATTAACGGTAGCTGGACAATGAAAGATCACTTTGAATATTGTCACTTCCAGACCTTCTAGCTCGCCGTTCAAATAATACCAAAAAAAAATTTGTTGACGGTATGGTAATCTCTTTATATCTCTGCAATACTCCTAATATTCAAATAATGTTCAAATTGAGTTACTTTTTCTAAAGAGTATGTTATGAAAGATCTCTCATATTTCACTTTAAGTTCTTAATTGAAATTTTTGTTTATTTGGCATAAAATAAAATTATCAAATGGATCTGCCTCACAAAATTCCATATTTCTTGACCATATTAGCGTTATATTAGATTATATATGAACACTAATTTTCATAAATTTTCAGAAAAAGTTGAATCAACATTCCATCAGGCATAAATGTGGCCATGTACGTGTTCTTTACGCCTTTTATTGTTCTTTTGATTCATTTTCATTTCATCAATCAATCACAAAGTCAAGTCTTCTCCCCCGTTTGTTACGCTAATGGAAAAACAATCCTATAATTGAAAACTTTTTGTAGGGCATTGATTATACTGATATAACTATTATTCCTGCATTCTTATTGTTTCAAATGTTTTATAATAAAAATGAAGGCATAAAAATTCAATTTTATAAAATAAAATGATTTTTCCCCTTTCATCTCTAATTTAGTCGAGTACTCTTATGAACGGTTTCATGCATAGCTTATATATTTGTATGATTTTATTGTATATAATACTCCTTTTTTCCTATTTATAAGGTATAGAGAAAATTCTTATTTGATCTCATTTATAAGATGTATTATTAAATTTTTCATATGAATACATAATTCTTTTTGCAAACAAATTTATTTTATGTGCCATTTATTATTGTGTAGATTTTATTCTCATATGGTATAATGTAAATAAAATAGGGACAGAATAAAAAATTTATTAAATTTTAAGATAAAGTGAATAATACTTCTAGTTCTTTAATATAAGCGTTAGATAACTAATTTATAAATATTAAAATATTAGTTGAGTTAATTATTTGTAATCATATATTGTCTTGCCTAAATACTCTAGTTAATCATGTGCATTAGAGTCGCTCTATCTTGGAACCTTTAACATGTGCAATCACAATAAGAATTACTTTGAAGAAAAAAGGATAAATATGATAAACAAAAAAGATTATGGTCTTATGTTTATGATCAAATTAAATGTACAATTAGTTTTTATATTAAAGATCGAAGGCAGTAATGTTTAAGGTTTTTTCCTTCTATCTCAATGAAACATGTTAAATATGATTTTATAAATAAGATCGGAGAGTATATATCTCATAATGAACTTCAAAATTTTGACCTCTTAATAAAAATATTTCGAATTTAAGGTTTAATAGGAAATTAAGTACATGATTCATGTAACGTAACGTGTTTATACTTACACACGCAAATATCAATTTATGAATTTTTGAGACAAATTGTTCGATTTTAGTTTTGGATTTGTGAAGTCTTCAAATTTTGTCGGCTTCAATACTTCCCAATGGAATCTCAGAAATTCACCACTTGACACGCTTATAATGGACATTGACCCGTAAACTTTGGTGGACAAACGTGTTATTTGAAAAAAAATTGTTTCTCGATAATTTCTTTAAATTTATGTTTTCGCCTCCCTTTGTTTCTTCAAACAGAATTTGGGTCTTTCGTACCACAATACAATACATTGTTGTATGTAAATAACTAAAATGTAACCGTATAGTTATTGAAAAAATTTTAGGATTTTACGGTTAAAATTGATGTGAGGATTTTCGGCCATACATTGATCATAAAGTATTAGTAAGGGTCTCCAAATCGGGAGAAGAACATTTTCACTAACTTTTCTCTTCATTCTCTTTTCACTTAATGTCTCTGCCGTTATATTAACTTTTAATGGTTGAAATCCGAAACTACATAAAAACATTATTATAATATTAAATATAATAAAAAATTTAGCATTGCAAACTATTCACATCAAATTTTAATACTATAAATTTATCTATCTATTTTATTGTTTAATATTTAATATTTAATATTATAATAACATTTTTACTAAATAAATGTCACATGTTAAAGTGAGGAGGGAAATTAGTGAAGATGTTCCGCTTCCAAAGCTTTGCGACATGGGGTCAACCCGACATATTGAAGAGAAGAATTTGTGTCATAAAGAGTCAACTCAAAAGGGTCAAGAAGATAATTTAATATTTCATTTTTTAAGAATTTATTTGGCTCTGCATTAATTTTTTTTGTTTCCCTTTCATTTCAATCATAATTAATTGGCAAAGGCAAGTCTTTTGCGCCGTTTGGTACGCTAATGGAAGAGTGATCTGTAAATGAGAACTTTGTGGATTTATTATAGTGATATAATCATTATTCCCCATTTCTAATTGTTTCAAATATTTTTTCTTTATAAATAGGGGCATAAACATTAAATCTTATCAAGTAAAATTTTTTTTTTTTTAATTTTCCCTCTTCATTTCTAATATCAAATACATCTATGATTTCTTTGTAAAATTGGGTCAACGTCTCCAATTGAAAATTTTATTAGTGAAAAAGACTTAAATGAAAGTACCGATATTTTGTATGTACAGAATTTGCAAAGTAAAAAATATCGGTGCTTTTTGTGTATAAAAAATTATTACGTTTTTCACACAAATAAAATTTTAAATGGAAGATCTTTTTTCCCAATTTTCTCATACTTGTATGGGTATTATTTTGTAACGTGTACTGTAAGGTATGTTCAAAGGGAGGAGAAAAGTGTTACTTTCTCTATCACCATATAGATAGCTGGCCAATAACAAGAAATTTATAACTTGTTTAACGGTTTGAGCGGCATTGAAGTTAGAACCATTCAAGTCCAATTGATGATAAAGAGTCAGTGAGGGTCGAGGAAGCAACTGAAATGAGTGGATAAGATAATTTAATATTGTTTTTTTTATTTGTTAACAGTTTTCTTGGCCGTGGGTTTTCTTCGATTATTTTTCATTTCAGCCGCATCGCAAAAGGCAAGTCTTCTTTACCCCAAAAAAGGCAAGTCTTCTTCCCCGTTTGGTACGCTTATGGAAAAAAAATTCGCAACTGAAAACTTTTTAGGGCACATATTTGTTATATATATTGATATAATAATTATTCCATCTTTTTCATTGTTTTAAATGATTTTTTCTAAATAGGCGTATAAGCATTAAATTTTATAAAAAAATTATTTTTTTCATTTTCCCTTTTAATTTATAGTATCAAACTTATGGTATACTATTTCTCTATGTGTGTATACTCAAAATCAAAATTTTGGGACAAAAATGAATTAATGGCAGCTGGACAATGAAGGACCATTTTGAAATTTCTCACTTCCAAACCTTTTAGCACGCCATTCAAATAAAGCCGAAAAAAATCTAACAAAAAAATAATGCCAATTTTTTTTTGGATAATATGGTAATCTCTTATATTTCTCCCACCCTCCTTGTATTCAAATACTACCTCTGATCCTTAATATAAGATTTAATTAATTTGTATGTGCAGATCAAGAAAGTTAATAAATTACCTTAATATATTTATATTTATCTTGTTACTTTTATAAATCAATATATAAATGTAATGATATACATAAGTATTTTAGAGAAATTATATAACATGTAATTATGTAACTGAGTCTTATGTTAAGGATCAGGATAGTAATTTTGAAATTTAATTACTTTTTCAAAAGAGTATGTTATAAGGTCTCTCATATTTCACCTTGTTCAAGTTCTTAATTGAAACTGTTTTTGATTTTAGCATAAAATATAATTATCAAATTGAAAATTGACCAACCTCACAAAATTCCGTATTTCTTGACTATATTAGTAATTATTAAATTATATATGAACACTAATTTTCAAAACGCTTTGCCACAAATTTTTGGAAAAGTTTAATCAACATTCGTTTAGTCAAGCACGTTCGACGTGTTGCTAGGACCATTTGTTTAGTCAAGTGAGTATTTGAATTAATTTATTTTAAGTGATTTTATATTTTCAAAATAAGTATATGAGAGGAATATTCTGTTGTAAAATGTAAAATAGATTTTTTTTAAAAGTTAATTCTCTTAATAAGTCTTTCATTTTTTTTTAATCTCCAAGGAAACATAACTTTTTTCTTGGTAGCCTTCTTGGTAGCCTCTGCCCCTCTCTCAATATATATGATATAATGAACTTATTTTTATTTTCCTTAATTATAGAAATTTCTATTCCATTTAAAAGATATACGTAATACGTAAGCCTTCTGCAAAATAAAATTTGGTAGCACAATTTTTTCTTTTATTTTTAATATTTCATTTTCATTGACCATGACATTACTATTAATTACTACTCATTAAATAAAATTAGTTTAATTATTTTTTGCAAAAGTAATTTTTTTAATAACTTGCTAGTACACTGTGTATTTAATTCTTATAATTCCTAATTGTAAATAGAATTATAAGCCTTTTTTTCCTACCATAACAGAATTATAAGTGAAGTCTTTTATTTCTATTATTGAACGCGTAATACATTCACTGACATGTTGGTCATGACAAACAGATTTGTTCATAACATCACTGTAGCCCTTGCTCATAATATAATATTTCTTTGTATTATAGCTTTAATATAGAATAATATTCCCAAGGTAAGGGCCTGTATACTAGCAAGTTATTATGACAAACCTTTTATCATGCGTAGCTCTGCCTATAAAAGAAGCCTCATATGTTAGATACCATATCCTTCACTCCTTGATATTCACAGCCTTCTAACTTCGCTCATGGCATTTCGAATCACCATCTGTTTCTGCTTGTTCCTTCTTTCTCCTTCCCTTTCTTCTCTCAACCCCCCATTATGTAATTCTCATGATTCCATTGCACTTTTTCATTTTAAAAACTCTCTCTCTCTTGATCATTCTGCTTCAATGGAGTGTGATGAGTTTTATGATGATGATGGCTACACCTCTACTATACAGTTTAAGAACTCATCTTACCCAAAGACAGCTTCGTGGGGAAATGATTCAAACTGTTGCTTGTGGGATGGGATCACGTGTGACTCCATGTCTGGTCATGTGATTGGCCTTGATCTTACTTGTAGTTGGATCCAAGGTCAACTCCATCCAAACAATAGCCTCTTCCAACTTTCTCATCTCCAAACACTCAACTTAGCTCACAACAATTTTAGTGGGTCTTTGATATCATCTCATTTTGGTGGTCTTTCCACTCTGATGCATCTAAACTTAAGCTATTCTACTTTTGCTGGTGAAATTTCTCCTAAAATTGCAGAATTGTTTAAGTTGGTCTCTCTTGATTTGTCTATGAATGGATTTGAAGGGTTGAGTTTAAGACTTGAACCATCCACTTGGGAGAAGCTTGCTCTAAACATGACTGATATGAGAGAACTTGTTTTAGATGATGTAAATATGTCTTCCATTGCACCAAGCTCCTTGTCTTTGAAGTCGCTTAATATTTTGAGTCTTAAACGTTGCAGATTTGATGGGCCTATTCCTATAGGTTTTGGGAATCTCACTCAATTAACTGATTTGAACCTTGCAGGAAACAATTTTAGTGGTGAGCTTTCATTTCTTTCAAATATTCAAAGTCTCACTTCATTAGACCTCAGTGACAATTATTTTAATGGTCTCTTACCAAATTCCATAGGCCATTTGAAATCTCTTAATTTTTTGGGTCTTCAGGAGAACCAATTTCATGGGCCTATTCCTACAAGTTTGGGAACCTCACTCAATTAACTGATTTGAACCTTGCAGCAAACAATTTTAGTGGTGAGCTTTCATTTCTTTCAAATCTTCAAAGTCTCACTTCATTAGACCTCAGTGACAATTATTTTAATGGTCTCTTACCAAATTCCATAGGCCATTTGAAGTCTCTTGATTTTTTGGGTCTTCAGGGCAACCAATTTTATGGGCCTATTCCTACAAGTTTTGGGAACCTCACTCGATTAACTCATTTGGACCTTTCATTTAATATTTTTAGTGGTGAGCTCTCATTTCTTTCAAATATGTCAAGTCTTACTTCATTGGACCTCAGTCAAAATTATTTTAGTGGCTTATTGCCAGATGTGTTTGGAAATCTTTCAAATTTGGAATTTCTTGGTTTCTCTGACAACAAGCTACAAGGTAATTTTCCGGAGTCAATTTTTACCCTCGTAAATCTTTCTAGTTTGAGACTATCATCAAATAACTTGAGTGGCTCCATTAATTTTTACCAATTTTCCAAGCTTCAAAATCTAGAAGATCTTGATCTTTCAAGCAACAAGTTTCTCTCACTTACCTCTGATAATAATCTTAACTACACCATTCCCAATCTTTTGTTCTTGTATTTATATTCTTGTCATATCACTGTCTTTCCAAAATTCGTAGGCCTTTCAAATTTGCAGCAATTATACCTTGATGATAATAAGTTACAAGGTGTTCCTGAGTCAATTTTTGGTTTCCTAAATCTTTCCCATCTAAGTCTGTCATCAAATAATTTAAGAGGCCCTCTTAGTTTTCATCAATTCTCAAAGTTTCAAAATCTAGAACATCTTGATCTTTCAAACAACAAGTTTCTCTCACTTAGCTTTGATAACAATGTCCACTCTATCCTTCCCAATCCTGCATGGTTAGAGTTATCCTCTTGCAACATCAATGACTTTCCTGAAGTATTAGGAAACCTTCAAAATTTGCAGTTCTTAAATCTTTCCAATAACAAAATTCATGGAGATATTCCCCAATGGTTCAATAATGTGGGGAATGGTTCTTTGGATATTTTGGATCTCTCTCATAATAACTTGACATCAGTTGAACATCTTACAATGAGAAATATTTTGGTGCTTGATCTTAGCTTCAACTTGTTGCAAGGAAATCTCCCAATTCCATCTTTTGGTGTTATATTCTTTTTAGTGTCCAACAACAAATTCAGTGGACACATTTCTTCCTCATTTTGCAATGCAAGCTCACTTGAGATACTTAACGTATCTCACAACAACTTGTCAGGCCACATCCCAAAGTGCCTTGTTGCTCTCCCAAATCTTGAGAGTTTAGATCTACAGATGAATAATTTTGTCGGATCTATACCAGACAATTTTTCTAGGAGCATTTATTTGGAATCTTTGCATTTGAACAACAATCAATTTGAGGGACGGTTGCCTTTATCTTTAACCCATTGCAAGCAGTTACAAATTTTAGATGTGGGAGCAAACAAGATCAATGACAAATTTCCTAATTGGCTTGAAGGCTTATCAGAGCTACAGGTACTCATTTTAAGAGATAATAAGTTCTATGGTGCCATTCATAGTTCCAACACCAAACATACTTTTCCCATGTTAAGAATTTTTGATGTTTCCAACAACCGTTTTAGAGGATCTTTGCCAACAACATACATCAAGGAATTTAAAGGAATGATGAATGTTGACTTTGTTTCAGCTGAACCAGATTACTTGGAAAACAATAATGGATCTCGTTATTATCAAGAATCAGTGATGGTCACATTGAAAGGTGTTGATTTGGAGTTGGTAAAGATCATAACTACATTCATATTCATTGATTTGTCAAAAAACATGTTTGATGGAGAGATTCCACATGTTATTGGTGAGCTGCATTCACTTAAGGGGCTTAATCTCTCCCACAATAAAATCACTGGTCCTATTCCTCAATCCATTGCAAACTTGACAAACCTAGAATCATTGGATTTATCATCAAACTTGCTTAAAGGTGAGATTCCTCTTGCACTAGCAGATCTCAACTTTCTTGAAGTTTTGAATCTTTCACAGAACCAGCTTGTGGGAGAAATACCAAGAGGTAAGCAGTTTGATACATTTTCACAAGATTCTTTTGAGGGAAATTTAGGACTGTGTGGATTTCAATTGTTAAAAGCATGTCATCATGATGAAGGGAAATTGCCACAACCAACTTCGTCAAGTAATGACAAATTTGGATTTGGTTGGAAACCAGTGGCTTTGGGATATGGATGTGGGATGGTGTTTGGAATATTCATGGGTCAAGTTATTTTCTTAACTGGAAAACCTAAAGAGCTTGTCAGAATTTTTCAAGCCAGGCCTAAGAAACAAGCAAAAAGGACAAGGAAAAGAGCCCATCAGAATCAAAGAAGAGTGAATTAGGCACAAAATATGGCTTCATGTGATATATTGTGTCATCTTTTTTTTCCTTTTCCATGTTTCCACTATGATAATTATTTCATGTTTCTTAAATATCTTGTCAGTGATTGGAATGTAATGTACTGTATATTTTAATGCAAGTTATTGTCTTTCCCTTTTTTTAAAAAAATGAATTTCAAGTGATTTGCCTTCATTTGTATGCTATGTACTTTTTGATCATCATGTGAATAAAATATTAGCAACTTTTTTTTCTTTTTTAATACAGACATATCATCAACTTATGTTATTTGAATTAGTTATCAACTTTCAACCTTTCTCATTTAATTAATGATTTAAAGAAACTTTTAGTTTGTTCATTTCTTTAATTTAAAGTTCTATTAAAGGATTTTAGGTTTTTATAAATATGTGAAAATCACTTTCTACTTCAAGACTTTATGATCGATACATGATTGTTCAGAGTAATGTTGCAAGCAGGAATTTTAAATAAGCAAAATGATTTTTATTTCAAATGTTGAACTCTTAACAACTTTTTCTTGTTTTTGCCAAACTCTTAAAATTAAAAATATGACAATGCAAAACACAAGCCTCAATTGCTTTATTACTTAATAGTTAACATTCAACTGGGCTCGTCCTCTCATGAAAACCTTGGGCCTAAAAGCATTTTAGCCCATCAACGACATACATGACCCCTTTTTTCGTTAGTTTATAAATTCTTTTGTTCGTTCTTTTTACCTCTTATTCAGATTGAGAGAAAATTAAAGAGAAAAAAAATTAGATAGAAAAATATGGAGAGAAATCAGTTTTTTTCTCACTTGGAACTATGGGAGGAAGGAAGCCCTTGCTTGGATTAAAATAAAATTAGGGAGGAAAGAAAATTAGGGAGAAAAATATGAGGAGAAATTAGTTTTTTTGAATATTAATGTAATCAATTATTTCAAAATCGATTCTAATTGAATTGATCCTCATCCTAACGAAATTCATTTAACTGATACATGTATTCACCAATTCAACATAGGCACAAGATTTTTTAGGATTGGATAGGAGAGAAAATATGGGAGAAAGGAAAAGTAAGAAAAAAATAAGATAAACTCCATATATCATTTTCTCTCCAAATATGGAGAGACTTGGGAAGAAAAACAAGATTTTCCTGATTGTCCCTCATCTCTCTTTCTCTCACATTTATTTTATTTTATTATATTTAAAAAATTATTCACTTTTTATTTTTTTATCTTACAATAATATTTTTTTATTAAATAATTTGCTTTTAAAATATAATACTATGAAAATATATATAAACCAAGTAACGTGATTTGAAATTATTTGATGATGCTAACGTTAGTATAATATTTCTATTACAATATTTAATTTGATTTAATTTTAAATATGATATATTTTGATAAGGGTATTTTAGTTATTTAGATATTTACTCATTTTCTTTCTTTTCTATTTTTCTTTCATTTATCCAAGCAAGAGGATGATAACATCTTTTCTCTAGTTTTTCCTTCTCTCTATTCCTCTCCTTCCATTTTCTTTCTTCCCAACTTTTCTTCTCATTGAAGTAGAATAGAAAAGTGGAGGAGAAAATAAAATGGGTCACGTGTCTCATTTGCTCTTTAAATTTGCTCTTTATATATTGAGAGGTTTGGGAAGGAAAATGAGATTTTTGTGACTGTCCCTTCTCTCTTTTCCTCTCCATATTTGTTTTTTTTATTATATTCAAAAGATTATTCACTTTTTATTAAATAACTTGGTTTTACAATATGATAATATCAATATATATATAAACCAAATAGCTTAATTTTAAATTATTTGATGATGTTAATGTTCGTATAATGTTCCTATTGCAATATTTACTTTGATTTAATTTAAAATATAATATATTTTGATAAGGATATTTTAGTTATTTAAATATTTGCTCATTTTTTCCTTTCTATTTTATTTTGTCTATCTAAACAAGAGAGATGACAACATCTTCTCTTTAGTTTTTCCTCCTCCCTATTTTACCAGTTTTGTGCTTCACTGTTTCATTTGACATCATTAAAATCCAATAAAAAATAATGATCAATGAAATATTGTAAATACGAAGTAGGAAGGAGGACAAAACAAAATAAAAGTATAATAAGTGCTTGAATCCCCCAATTTCTCCCAAAAAATTAATTTTCAAATATGTATTTATATATATATATATAGAAGTTCATTCATACATTTTTCCCCTCATTTTCCTTCCAATTTTCAAGTCCTTCAAAAACTTCAACCAAGTTAATTCAAACAATCAAATGGTTATAATTAAAAAGAGGGTCTTAAACTAAACCGTTCAACGAGCCTTTATACAGGGGCGTCCCAAATTATGTGGTGAATATATCTTTTAAAAATTCGTATAGACTTAGAATATAAGGTGTTAAATTGGAAAACCCCTCAAGTCAAAAAATGTGGAAGACCCAAAAAAATACTAGGGGTTCCGAAAAAGTTGGGGAATGAGTCTTTCTTCCTTTGTTTTTTTTTTTTTTTGGATACATGAGTCTTTCTTTATAAGGCTTGTTTTATTTTTAATTTTTGTAAAGTTTGTGTGAGAGGATGCAAAGAATTGTAGAAAAAATAACAGCAAGGGACGTTTTTCAATATTCTTGCCATAGT